CACTGACCTGGGGTGGGCGGCCGATGGCTCGGGTCTCGCCCCTCTCGCACGGCAGCTCCGGAGTGCGCTGCGAGAACGCGTCCTCGACGTAGCCGAAGAACGACTTGTTGAGCACGCGCGGCACCTGCTTGTGCTCCCCCATTCCGGGGATGCAGCCGCCGCCGTCCCCGCAGCCGTTCAGAACAGGACCGGAGCGCGGTGACGTCATCTGAAGCATGCATCGGATTGTTTTGTCACCAGTGAAAGCCGGGGGAGAGATTCGGCCATCTGCAGTTTTAAAGAAATGGATCTGGTCCCCAAACGTGGCGACCGGCACTGCCTTGTGATTGCTGTTTCGCAGGCGGAATCAGTTTTGACCTGGGCTCATTGGACTCGCTGACTAACGGTACATTGTGCTCATATCAACTGCTATCCTAAATGGCTCGACCTGAATCGTGGTCGACTGAGATTCCAATTAAAAGGAGATACACCTTGATACCAGCTTTAATTCAGATGGGGTCCATTACTGCCAAGAATATAAATCGTTCTGAATTGGCTACAAGAGCAGGCAGCACAGGACACGGGTTTTGCCTGCCGTCGAAATGACAATGTATGATGTATCTAACCTCAATGAGTCGACTCATCGACGATTGCACTCGATCGCCAAACATCTGACTGATTCCGGAGTCAGCTCCGACCGTACACGGAATGAGGCACATATTCGCATTAGAGTTTATCAAAACACATCTGTGGCAAGAGAAACCCGTTCCAATATTGGTGCTGCGAAAAAGGCAGTAAAAGGCAGTGACGGAAAGCGCTTGTCGTACAGACTAGTGACCGAGAGGACGAGAGTGGCAAGCATGGCTTATGTGGTGCACCTGGCTAAAAAAGACGCCATCGGACGCGTTACATCCTACCTATCTTATTTGACACTGCTGCCGTATTACACACACCGTGAGTAGGATCGCGGCGGATGGCTTTAGCTAAGGGCTTCAGATTTTGACGAGTGTTATACGGTTTGTTCACTCCAATTCGATCAAATATGGAAAACTGCACGCTACCGGCGCACACAGGTAGGACTAGCCTACCGAGCCCAATAACGCACCAGACCTCTCCGAAAGATCTTGAATCATTCCAACGCGACATGCCGCGGTAAACCAGATTACACAGTGTCACCAATTACCCTAAGCCAGTGTGCTCGCTCAGCGCACTTCCCGAACGTGACAAACAATGCTCACCTTTTCTGCGTCGGTCGAGACCGGATCACCGTGACCAACCTAATGGGACCAGGTCTGCCTATGAAATGCGCCTCGGCCGTAGCCGCGCCGAGGCGCTCGGCAGCCGCGAGCTCGTGGGAGCTTCCGGTGACGTCACGGCCGGCTCGGCGCCGTCCAGCGGCCGCCGATCTCAGGCGGCGGCCGGCCGATGCGTGGAGAGTAGCGAGGGCCGCTTCCCACGGCAGATCAGAGCGGCGAACCGCAGACCGCTCTCCGGCGCGACACGGCGGCTGACGCTCCCTGGCGGCCGGCACGGGCCGCCGGACGCCGTCAGTCGAGTGTCGGTCAGCGCTGCCGGCCGAGCCCTTCTCGTTGAAGACGGTTCTCGTGTAGAAGGATGGCAATGGCCATGTAGTTTCATCCCCCCCCCCCCGAACCATCTGCATGGGAGCTGTTGAGATCCCCGGCCTTGCTGTGCTCGGATCGTCGGGTAATCGGTCCGTTACTCACTGCCCGCGCTGTGACCGCCATCACGCGGGGGCGGGTCACTGAACTGCCGCGGATGACACACTCGCGCTGAGAGGTACGGTCGCTACTCTAGTTCGCCACATATGTTGTGATCGGTACACCCATAATGCGGTGACCGTCACCCCGCTGCGCCTCCCTAGCTAGTGTCATTTACGTCTGTCCCAGCGAGCGGCTATTAGATCTCATTCGTTGAAGTGTGACGCGGAACTACGTCGGCCCGTTCGACCCCCGTAGGCAATAAATAAATCCACATGCTTCCGCGACCAGTGATAATGGAAGCTGTTTTGGTATTGTGAGCCCCGAAAGGACACAAAGCGGAGTAAGTCCCGTACGCATTTCACGAAATCAAACTTAATCCACGTTCTCAGTTCACGATACATATATCCCGTACACACCATTTTCAAGGTTCATCATCCCTCACACACCAGTTGCAAGGTTCATCATCCCTTCCACACCAGTTGCAAGGTTCATCATCCCTTCCACACCAGTTGCAAGGTTCATCATCCCTTCCACACCAGTTGCAAGGTTCATCATCCCTTCCACACCCTCACCTCGGTATCATGGTATGCTAAGTTGCATGGCGTGAAATGCAAACATGGGAAGGCGCCACTCGGCTGAGCGGTCGTGTACATAAATTTGGCCACGAGCACCACCGAGGTTGTACCATGTTTTGCACCGATACAAGACGCATTTTTTAAAGATTGCTTGTTGGAGCAGGTGCAACCATTACTGTTACTGTGTAAAATTAGGAATATCTGAGCCGCGACGGCGTCCCCACTGTGAGCAAACGTCACTCTAGATCACTGAAACCAGTCACTGACCACCAGGCCAACGTCCTGGGCGGAAGGTATGGTGCGGCCGAGTTTGAAGGTAGCTTGCGGCCGGCACACTAAAGCTTCAGGCAGACTGATGAGGCAGAAACGTTGCAAAGACCCCGGTATGCTCGCCAATTAAAAGAGTTTCGAAGTCGTTCATCCCCGCCAACGGTACTGAAGCGGGCCATGTCTTGAGTGTGGCCTTCATGCGCCCCTTCGCAGTAGTTATTGCTCGGACCAGTCGAAGCATCGACACAATGCGCACAGCCGCCCACGGCCATTCTATACGGAAAACTAAGAGATTACGCAGTCTGATTTATTGCCACACCGACATGCTGCTACACAGATAAACACCGACGCGATCAAATACCCATGCTGCTGTGCGGGTGAAAACAATCAAGGGATGACACCGTTTCCATGTGTGTGGGCTGGGCACTTTGGACACTGATATGGCACCAACAAAATGTCACTCAAGCTACAGGCGGGAGAGTACACCACCCAAGTCCACTTTTCTCTTTTGTTTTCTTGCGGCAGTGAGTCCAGTCACCGCAAAACAATAACCCAGCTGAACCGACGACGTGCCGAATGCCGTTGCCGGATGGCGCACACAGAAACTAACTGTGCCGACAGGACCTTCCTCCACTGGCCGGGTCAGCCTTATACAACTCCTCTGGCGCTACCTGTGCACTACAACGCGACCAAACAAACACCGAGCACCGCAGCGGACCACGACACTGCACGGTGGTATGCGGGGGCAGGGACGGGGGCAGGGCAGCGGGCCGCCCGGCGGCTCGCTACTGGACGGACACCGATCACCACAGCGAATCACACCGACACTGGACGGTGGTCTGCGGGGGAAGGCAGGCAGGGGCAGCGGGCCGCCTGGCCGCCCGCTGCTGGACGGACCAGAGAAGCATGCCGCCGCGCACGGACTGGACATCAGATCCCGGGCACATCCCAAGGCACGTGACACTGACGAGCTCCGCGGAGACCTCTCCCAAACGGCGCTCACGCCGGCAACGACCGCGTCACCTACCACGTGACCGGCTCATGGGCACAGACGACGGGCTTGTGGACGGAATTTCATAAGCGTAACGTGCCGCGGCCAGTGTCTGAAACCAAAGCTACAGCCCGGATTAAATCGCACCGCTTGACGATGTCATTAGAAATATGCTAACTTGACATGAGATCTGGCATTTCAGGAGGGACAAAACGAGTTTATGGAGCTTAAAGCTTCATTATTGTGACACAAGCCGCGTTCATAAGAACAGTTCCAACGGTAGTTTTGCTCCCAACAACTATCCACTGGTGGACGCGAACAAAAAATGGCATGAAAAACAAAGACGGCTTTGCTCATTGATACCAAAACACAGCACCTCCATTCACGTGGATGTCATAAACGCAAGACGTCCTAAGCTGGACTACGAACACGACAGAACTTGATCAAATGAGTGGTGAGACGTGCAGTCAAAATCTTACGCAACACAATAGTTTTTACATTTCACGTATGGAGCACGGAGAAAAATACCCATCCTCCAATTGTGGATCACCGCATTTTAATCTACTTTGCCGAATAATGATATTCCTTGACTGGCAGGCACTGAAAATGTGAACGTAAGAGCCTCCTCACCAGGGACATCAGGGAGGTCCGTGATGTGGTTCACATTTCCAGTGCGTGTCAGAGGAACAATATCCTCTACGTGCAGCGCGGCCGCACACTGAGATCCTTCACAGCAGGAGAATAGAGAAAAATAAATACGCGGTGCGCACAACATTTTCGACTTTAACGTACGCCCCCATAAATAATTGTTTCTATTTTGTTTTTGGGTGCATCAGCACACAGGCTGGAATTGGCAGTGAATCAAGGGTGGGCACCCGATCCAACCAGAGATAAGAGAGCAATCATCACCTACAGCACACATCAGCTTCAGTGAGTGCTGGACATACAACAGACACTGTGAGCCGACTCAATGACTATCCTCGCCACCCAAAAGAGCCCTACTGCACAACCCTGTGACACCCCAGAGCACACAAAGCAAGACCCGAAGCTCACACATCCACCTGGTATTCCTGTGATGGACGACGCCACCCGGTGCAGATCGCGGACACCGCACAGTCTCAGAATACTAAGAGGCAGGCTCAACATCAGGTGCTGGGAAGCCGCGGGCGAAGGCGATAGGTGAGTGACAGCAGACCGCGGACGGAGACGACACCGAGTGTCGGGAGACCGCGGGCAGAGACGAGATCCAGTGTTGGGAGATCACGGGACGACATCCAGTGTTGGGAGATCACGGGACGACATCCGGTGTCGGGAGATCACGGGACGAGATCCGGTGTCGGGAGATCACGGGATGACATCCGGTGTCGGGAGATCACGGGACGACATCCGGTGTTGGGAGATCACGGGACGACATCCGGTGTCGGGAGATCACGGGATGACATCCGGTGTCGGAGAGATCACGGGATGACATCCGGTGTCGGGAGATCACGGGACGACATTCGGTATCGGGAGACCGCAGCGGGCAGAGACGGCAGACGGCACGGAGGAGGAACCAGTGGACGGAGGCGGCTGGCGGTGGTCACCACTACTTACGCTTTATGCTCTTACAGACCCACTCCATACCCTCCTGAAACGCACCAACCAATGGTAAGGCGACATAGCAGGCGATGCGAAGATACTGCAACAAATTCACATATGTCCGTATCGGAGCTTGGGCAGACGCGAAAGACTGCTACACAAATTGCTGAGGGAACGCAATTGATTTCAAGCATGATCAATGCCAAGATTTGGATGCGGCGTTGAGAGGACGGCTGACTCACGCCGAGAAAAGGAGCCATGCAACGACTGCATGCCAGACGCGGCAAAGTTGACTTCATGTCAAGGCCAGGTGTGGTATCTCATCTACGAGCTTTGGGCTCCCGCCCCTCCTTTCATCTGGCACGTGACCGCATCCGGTCATCACAGTACTCTGCGCTAGGGCTCCGGAAGTTGCTACTGTATTGCGTGATGATTCCACAAAGCAAGGAATGCCGTTAATGTTATATTTATGAAAGACAAACGATCGCATACCAGTGCCGCACACGAAATAGGGGCGTGCGCAGTTCTTACTGTTCTGAATGGCAAATCGTGTAGGAGAACGTTTTCAATGAGACAGAACAAAAGCAAGAATGCAAAGTGGCTGAGTCACAAGCACTCACAGAAAGAGGAATTTACACCCTACAAAGGTTCTAGTAACAGCTGTCACGCCACCCTCACAAGCCCTCTTCCCCGGAATACAAACATACATCGGCGCTGGCCGTCGTTTGGCCAGGTTGCGGGTAAGCAGTCCTGGGCCGGCCGTCCCTTCCCTCCAGACGCCGGGCACCCACCTTAACGCCCTCGTTGGAGGAGGCCGAGCAGCCCTGGATCTGCCACTCGCGGTCGCGGATCACGTGCAGCCCGAGCGACTCGGCTATCTCGGAGGCAGGCGCTGAGTTGAAGAGGTCCTGCTTGTTTGCGAAGATGAGCACAGGCACACCCACCAGCTTGTCTTCGGCCAGCAGCTCGGCCAGCTCCTGGCCCGTCTCGTCGAACCGCTTGCGGTCGGCGCTGTCGATCACGTAGATCTGGCGCAACAGAGGTGCGCAGTCGGAAGCAAGCACGGTGCGCGCGCGTGCGCACGCACGCACGCCGAAATTATGGAGACATAAGCACCGCCATCAAAGTACTGAAAAAGCCTACCAGCCAATGACTGTAGGAACTGCGTAATGACAACTAACAAAGGAATGGCTGCACACTGTTTCCGTGCAAACGGACGCAGCGAGCCTTCTCCGCAGCGCAGCGGTGTTGCGGGAAGCTTAGCTTAGGCTACTTCTCCTGCTGTTTCTACTGACCAGAACGTCCGTGTTGTCAAAGTAGTTGCGCCAGTAGGGTCGGATCTTGCGTTGACCACCGATGTCCCACACGTTGAGCTTGAAGCCCTCTGACAACACCGACTTGATGTTGAAGCCCTGCGTGGGCGTGATCTGCGTGATGTCTTCCGAAGCGAGCGCCTTCAGCAGAGTCGTCTTACCGGCGTTGTCGAGCCCCAGCAGCAGGAGGCGCACCTCACGCTCCTGCGCCGGTCGCAGCTTACGCAACAGCGACAGCAGACCCTGCCAGCGGAACGGGACGACCGGCGTGAGACAACGGGCGGAACAGCGGCAGGAAACGGACAGCGTGGATATGACAATGGAACACGTCTTCTGGAGATCGCACGTTTACAAGGACCCATTCAGTTTAAAGTACTGCACACCCACCCAGACCCAAACCGTAAAATGGAATATTACGCTGTTAAAAATGTGATGTACCATACGGGGCGTCACTTTCTAGCATCGGGTGAAAGGGGGGGGGGGGGCTAGCCAAAAGCGTTGACCTCACGTGATATCAAAACCTGATTCCTGCTCGGATTTTGGTCACTTGAATTTGCCCGCTCGAGGGTTATTTTCTGAACTTCATATTTCGCGACTCTAATTTGTTTTCCCTGTGGAGGAATCACTGGCCATTTCAGGTTAATGAGAGCTGCCTTCTTGTGAAAGAGCCTAAAATGGGGTGCAAAAACAAGTCAGTAAACCTTAGTAAGGGATCACCGATGGCTGCTGTTGTCCATGATCGAACTGTATAGCCACCACAGCCATGATCATGGGACAAATGCGGTTGTCACTATTGGGCGAATGAACTTCGGTCAGGGTCAAACTGTACTTTTAAAAGCTGTGTTCTTTATCCCGACCACGTTAAAAACTTGCCAAACATTTGCAGATTACTGAACATATGAAGAAGGCAGCATAAGACAAATATCAGGTATCTACAGGGTGCTATTTGATACAAAACATACATGATACTCAGTGATGTTTCGGTATCTGCTTCTTAGAAGCATACCAATAGTTGTGATCCTTGTCCTGTATTAAGTTGGCCTAGTATTTCGCCTTGCTTATACACACTGGGTGAGGTCAGACGAGCATTGGATCTCAAGCCAGCATTGACCGGCGGGGGGGAGGGGGAATACTGACCCCGCACGAAAGCATACTTGCGTTAAACGTATCTTAAGCATCCCCGTCGCCTGCCCCATTTATAATGAACACCACGAAAAAAGATCCGCTCTGATCGAAATTTACAAAATTTGTGAATGATCCGGACATCGTCTGATCTATTTTGTGCGCGTGTCGCACAATATTCTGATCCTTCGACCTTACCCGCCTAGCGATTCAGATCACCCTCAAACACATGCTATTTGCAACGCTTACGAAGAAAAGATCAGTTCAATCTGCATCTGCAGCAGGATACATTTTACTATTTATCGAACTACTGCTGAAAGCCTTACCATCGCCGGTGCTGCGTCGGTGCCAACTCCGCGCGAAGGCGAGCGCCCGGAAATTCAAGCGTGTCGGTGCAACCGGCACGACTTGCACCCGCTCAACAGAATTTGGCGTGCCGGAAGCTGTTCTTATAGTACAAGTGTGTACTCCAACGACGGAGTTCTTAACACTTTGAAGCGGCACTATTCGCCAACTCGTTAAACAGACGCACACAAAACTGGGCCACCGATCTGGGCCTTCTGCTGCGATCACCGAGACGTAAACAACGCACCTGGAAGGATAGTAGTGAGGAATGTTTGTAAATGGTATATTAAGATCCACGTATAGTTCTGTTGATAGTACGGCCCAATTTGTATGCAAAAAAGTGTACGAGACCGTAAACAAAACTTTTATGATAAGTCCGCTATCACCGAGGAACACATTATGTTAAATCTGCTCTTCTTGCAAAAATATTGATTTATTTCTCTATATACGGTCCGAAGCGTGAGGTCAATTGGCGCGAGGGGTACCATTCCGGTATTTTCTGCACGGGTGGACGTTAGTATTGGCACAACCTTACGTGAACAAGACTAATTGGTGAAAATGCTGGGCTTCTGCAGGCTTCCATGACATTAGCTGTTGCATTTGTATTATTTTGTAGTGGCATGATGTGGTGGTGTCATGGTTGCCTGGAGCAGGTTACAAATTGTTCCTTATCAAGTGGTTATGTTTGCATTCATGTTTATCCCGTGCGCATATAATTCATGGACAATTGCCTGACTATTCTCAGAATGTCAAAGTTTTGTTTGCAAACTGTGTGGTGCTACAAAAGACGGTCAAAAACATCTAGGAGCTCAGCTATGTGATGTGAGTGGTCTCTTTAATTTTATTTTATGTATTGTGTTATGTAGTGGTATTGTCTGTATATGTTGCCAGAGGAGCAACACAACCTGGTGTATAAGCAATTTAAGTTACACTGGTCTCGGGATAGAGGGGTCAAAGCATGTCCAAGTATCAGAACCCATTATATCTAAGTGATATTAGACCAGTGGCCTTGTGAATGTTTGTCAACCTGCCTGGTACAAGTGTTCTTTACACTGTGAAAGGTAAGATGGTGTGTCATCTTGTGTCAGCATGCCAGGATGATGCCAGGAGTAGCTGCATCCAGTCATAGTCAGTTAGAACAGATCACTCCACCCAGAATCAGGAGAAGTACCATTGGAGCCCAAATATGTGCTGCAACTCACAATGGGTTTCAAGTTGGCCCCACAGGGTGTTTGGGATGCTTATTATTACTCCACCGTTCATGGGGTGATTGTTATGTCTGATGCAGCAACCTGATTAAATTTTCACCTTTTTCAGTTCACCACCATCCTCTGGTTGCTTAGGAGTCATTTTCTGCTTGTTGTTATCATGCCATTCTTGTTTTACAGACATCCCAGCTGCCAGTGGGTTGATAGATGCATTGCCACAACCACATTAGTTATTAGTAAGTATGATTGTTATCACATTGTTGTCATGGTAGACACTGGCCCCTGCATCTGGTTGGGTTTGTCAGGTTTCAAAGATGTGTCAGTAAAACCCAGGCAGTGCCAGCCACTATTTGGTGGGGAGTAAGCCCATTTCATACACATAACATTGTCCTGTCTGTCAAGGAGACCCATTTTGTTTCCATGTTTTGGGTGCTACCAACCTGGGCAACCAAGGCATATCATTGAATTAAGGTCACTAAATGCTGGCATGCTGCTCTGTTTGAGAATGCCAGACATCCCCTGAAAAGAGGGTTCCACATTTGTAAGGGGGTTTGAACTGAAGAAGCCATCTTTAAGATCATTCAGTATAGCCCACAGCATTGCCCTTCTTAAGACCTAAAATCCCATAGTCCCTGAGAGACATGCCCACTAAGTTAAGCATGCTATTTTGTGCTAACTTGTTCAAGGTCACCAGACGTCTATGACGCCATAATAACGTCATTCAAATCCCACGCCTCCACCAGCCATGCTGCGTTCAGGGCCAAGAAAATATAATTGTCGAATTGCTCATACATAGCATTGATGAGCACCTTTTCCAGACATAACGACCGCCTATTTGCTCGCAACCAACGTCATGCAAGTTTTGTAAGAATCTGACATGAATGATGTTTAGTGCTACACAATGCAAGAACTTATACATTTGTCCTGGTTGTTACGGGAATACGAATAGCGCTATAACCGAATATGCGAATGCAAGCTATCATCGTAGCTCGCGGATCAGTGTGCAAGAACACCACGAGAAAGGGCTAACTAGCACATAACCGTATTTGACCCAGCAAACACTTCCAGTCCATGCTTCCATCTCGCGGAAGATTGAATAACTACGAGTCAGTGTTCAAACGTTCCACGACACAAACGGTGCCGTATTGGGGAGGATATTTAATAAGTATAGAAATTTGGTTGCCCAGAGCAGTTTTCTGCACCTAAAAGTATACCAGTGTTATAATTAGTGTAACATAGGGGTGGAAGGGAAGTTAGGCCATGGGGGGGGGGGGGGAACTTAAGTAGATGACCTCCCGTGTCTGTCGGACTTCGCCGTCCCGTGTCCGTGCTGTCCGTCGTGTCCCGCACTGTCCGCCGTGTCGCGTTCCGTAGGGTAACGGGAGGAACCTTCCGTGTGTGTAACGGGAGGCTAGGCATATATTACATAAGGTTGTTTCATCATATCTGATGCTTGCTTCAATATCTTTAAATGTGTAACATTCCCCTGAAGTGTTGAAAAATTGCTTGGCAAAATATATATGGTGTGCATAGTTCAGTTTGCCACGTCTTGGCATAGCGAAAACTCCAGTAAATATAAATGCTATATATTTCATATCACTGGGCGAGAGTCAGCAACCTATGACACGCACCAAATACTCTCCTAAATGTCCTGTTTCTCTATGGCAACAGCGTTGCTACTGTAAAGAAATCGCTTGCAGATGCCGCTTATCACCACCATAAAGCAATACTGATGGTGGACTTGTTAACTGTAGCGGTCTCGGGACTCGGAACAGAACGCCCTTCAGGACAGCTCCAACGCATCCATTATCACGCATCCATTGTCAATACAGACATCAACCTTGCACTCCATATGCTGTACTCCTGTCTTGGAGCACCTAGTTTCATTGCAGCCTCCTCGACCCTTACCGTTCCCACACACTGCACCTCGCTCGCGCCATCTACGCGCGACCACCGCCGGCCACCTGGGGCCACCTGCCCAGCGGCGCTCACTTGGGCACATACTTGAGGAGCTTGACCTCGTGCGTCATCCAGACGGCCAGCGAGAGGAGTGTGAGCGCGCCCGTCTGGTGGGCCGCCGCCACCGGGGTCGGCACGTACAGCAGCAGCGTGGCGATTCCCAGCGTCAGCTGGCCGGCAGGCGCGGGGCGTCAGACGGCGCGACAGTCAAAGACACGGCGGACAAAACGGGATACGACGCGGCGGGCAGCGCGGCCACGACCCGGCGGACAGCGCGGGACATGGCGCGGCAGACAGCGCGGAACATGGCATGGCAGACAGCGCGGAACATCGCGCGGCGGACAATGCGGGACACGAAACGGTGGACAGCGCAGGACAAAGCGTAGTGGACTGTGCGGGATACGATAGGCTGACATGGCCGGCGACACGGGATGGCAGACAGGGTAATGGGGGATACAGAGAGGCAGGCGGGGTAATGAAAGCCACACGGTGGGCAGTGACAGACACGACAGTGCGACAGACGAGACGCATCGGTAGACGCGTGGTAAGTGAGATGATAGACACAAGTAGGATGGACAAATCACGACTCCGCGGTGCCCGCCCTTCGTGTCGGGTGGTGACAGCGCGTGCGACGGCGCACAGCTTCAGGCTGCTGAGTGTAGTGTGAAGCCCTAATAACAACACAAACACCGCATTGACAAACGGCGTAGTACGTAACACAATTACAGGAATGCAAGCAACGGAGACCGCAAGCACTGCGCAATGCGAGCTCATCGCGCAATAGTGCGCACGGGAAGACACGATTTGTAACAGGCGAGGCGTAATGGAAACGCTTATCCACGCGAGGCAACGCCGCATGTCTCACGGGATCAAGGAGCGAGGGCGGTCGACACGGTACGTAAGTTCAGCCCCACACTCAAGACTCACCAAGATGCGCGTCCTACGATGAACGAGATACCACGTAGGCCAATGTTGCTGTTCACGTAGCCAAGAATTCGTTTAGTGCCGTCTACCGAACACTTGCGTCCCACGCGCCACTGTTGCCAATGCGTCAATTGCCGAGTCAAACGGGCTTGTGCCATGTTATGCCTTTTCCCGAACGTCGGATGACAGCTATATCCTTGCGCTCGGCTTTCGTTGCAGTGTGTCACCGAAGCATGAAGCCTGGTGGACCCAAGAACGCGCGCCCGACCAGCCCATGCATTGAAGTTTCACTTACTTGTATGTAGGTCATGACCAGCATGGCGTTCACTGCATGTGCGCTCTGGGAGGCAGCCGGGCCTTTCGCGACAGGTACCACAGCCCATGGACCAGGCCGAAAAACGGTGGTGCCCTGCGCGGCCAGAGTTTGATTGACCTTGGCGCACGGCAAACGGGTTACACCGACTCGTGCTCGCGTTGGAAAACATCAAGCGGTTCGCCAAGCGACAAAGCTAAACTCAAGAACGTCGCCTCGCTCAACACTTACTTCAGCTAATGGTGTCATCTCTGAATTCCGTGTCAGTAAACACGCTAACACCTCAGCAGAGGATATTAAAACGCGCCGAAACACTTCAAGGAGATGATTGTGAGATAACGAGAAAGGTGCCGTACCGCACGGCACTGCATATCGTTATTGAACAGCATTCATTGCGCCCTACGTTTCGTACGCTTGTCCAGCAGTCCCAAGGACACTAATATTGCCGCGCGAAGGACAGGTGCCTCTATATGATCGAGCAATCCATGCTTAGGTTTCCGCGGCGGTGAACATAGCACAACCCAGTTACGATGCCGCTGTACGTCCTGTCACAACGTCCCTCACAACATTGCCATTCATGTAAACTTAAAGGACCACAGATGACTCAAAACATGCCAGGCCCAGGCTAACCGCCGACCGGCCTACCAGCACTCTGTGGTTGAACTGGACGGTGGTGGGGTTCTCCGTGATGTTGGAGAGCGCCGGCTTGTAGGCCATCAGGTCGGACGGCACCAGCCGGCCGCCCATCAGCGGGAACTCGTTATAGGTCAGGCCGGCGTCCAGGCCAGCCACGAACGCTCCTGTGACACAACCAGGTCATATGGAACAGCGGCGGGTCTCACAACCAGAGCCATCTTAGAATGCGTCTGATTGCGCACCCTGTGCAGAGCTACCATGGCTACGATGGCTGAGCAGAGCCACCACTATTGTACTCTTTTGAGAGAGGACGAGTTTTCACACGTAAATTTGGTGTTTGAAATGTCTGAAATGCCACTGCTGATGCGTTAAGCAGCGAAGAACCACGAGAACGAATGAACCTGTTAGCAACCCATTTTAACACTCAGCCTGATAAAAGGTGTGTGGGGGGGGGGGGGGGGGCGATACGTAGTCCCAAGATACCGCAGTCGATGCCACCCCTCCCCCACCACTACCGACTAAGGTTTTTGGCGATATCCTACTGGAATGTTGTGTAACCGTTGAAAAAATGTTGATCAGTATCTGGGTTTTCAATGCACGTGTTTTGACCCAAAGCACGTGTCTCTCGCATTTGTTTTCTGGGCAAGGACGTTTGGTTAGGAACACTGCACGGTAATCTACGGCCAGCGCGGGCGGCGGACGACCACAGTCGATTCTGACGAGCACGGGTGGCTGGGCGACACTGTCACACTGACGGAACACAGTCGATTCTGACGAGCAGGGTGGCTGGGCGACACTGTCACACTGACGGAACATAGTCGATTCTGACGAGCACGGGGGCTGGGCGATACTGTCACACTGACGGAAACATAGCCGATTCTGATGAGCAAGGGTGGCTGGGCGACACTGTCACATGACGGAAACACAGTCGATTCTGACTGAGCACGGGTGGCTGGGCGACACTGCTCACCCTGACGGATCCTACATCTTCAACACGTGCTCCAAATACTAGAACCAATAGCTTCTTTATCCCTGCACCGAACTTCAAATCGATATGTTCAAGTTAAAGAAGGAAGATGCATGCGTACATTGTATGTTGCCAAGTTGTGTTATGTTATACATATCGCGCAAAGCTGAAGTCAGATTTTCAGCATAATTGACCCTGACCTGACCTGACGAGTTTGAAACCAATTACGAGATTTCGCTGGAGCCAATCCACGCTTTTTCGAGAGGCTCATCATTCTTAGCTTGGACCGGACAACGTGTCGGGTAGAACCGAGCACTCTTTCCATTCGAGTTATACAAAAAGCGAAACCAGCGAGGGTTAAGAAAAAAAAATCAAAGGTTCGAGCATTGCACATTGTGCCAAGCACGTGTTCGTTGAAGTAGCGACAGTCAAAATAATAGCAACAGCGTTCCCTTCAGGAGAAAACAATGATAAAGCATCGACGGCTTAACGGAGAGGACGGCGCTGAAGAGGGTCCCCAGTAAAAACTGTACGACGCTGGACCCCTCTCGGAGAAGTTAAAGGAAGCGACGCACTTTCCCGACGAAGGTAGCTGGTCAGACGGAGCCCTACCGGAGAAGGCGGCGAGGAAGATGAACCCCTTGCTGACGTGCGCCATCATGCGGACGCGTCGCACGGCGGTGGTGACCGGAACCTTCTGGGCCGGCAGCAGGTGGTCCAGGCCGTTGTACAGGAACAGCGTGGCCAGCACGAGGGCGGCGCCCAGGTGGGCGGCCAGCCTACCGGACAGGGCAGGTCACGGACACGGTCACCGCGGTTGCCAACGCAACAGCACGACAGCGTGATGTACAAGGTGACCATCCTACGCGGTGGAGTGACTCACAGATGCACTCCGTACAGCAGGATAGGGCACTGGACCACGCCAGCATCTGCCAACACAGGAGAGATCCGCGATCTGGCTTAGAGCCAGGGCACAATGAATCACGTCAAGTTTTCGGTACTCTCAGTCGCGCTTGGCCTCAGGCGTCGCCCAGACGTCAGTCCGAAGTGCCGACCGACAGCTGACGCGTCAGGTGCTGCAACACCCTGGGTACGTCCTCACCGGTACTGCGACACCCTGGGTACGTCTGAAGGGCCCTCAAAGTTCTTGTGGTCCAGACCGGACTTGACCATGTACCAGCCCATCAGTCCCTGTCAAGGCCAACAGAGAGATCAATGATGAACACAATCGAGTGTACATAACGGGGATGACTTCCTAACTAGATGCGCCAGAGAGTCATCCCTCCAGCCCAAACCCTCCTGTAATGTCCTACCCGACCCAGCCCACCATCCCTCACCTGTAGCAGAATCAGGGACCCGAAGACGGGGACGCGTCGCCTCATGGCCTTGGTGAAGTAGCCCTTGTACCAGAAGTAGACGGCCGGCAGGGCGAACGTGGCGCCGATCAGCCGGCCCCACATCCGATGGCCGTACTCCATCAGCCAGATGAACTTGAAGTCAGACATGCTGATCTCCTGATTCTTGCTAAAATCAGTCAGAAGGCACGCAATCAATGCTTAGGGCGGCGCAACGTAATGTGACATCAACATTGAAGAAAGTTAACACAAAAACGTTCCAGCAGTATTTCTTTCGAGCCCTGTTAGCGGTCGTTTGCCCATAAAGTCATCATTGAACAAGTCACTTACGACTGAGCAATGACGTTCCCGCAGTTCATCTTGGGCTGTGTCACCAATGCGTATATTCTTGGCATGCAAAGGCGAATCCATGAGACATAACCTGATCGCAACATTCAAAAACCCGCCCGCAGCCTGCGCAATGGACGAGTGATCTCATTACAAGTTTATATCGCCCGAAACTGACACACAGTTACTGCCATTAGTTTTCGAAGATCGCCGTCATTGTATTGCAGCCATATCTGCATAAGTAACAGCAGCATGAGGACTCACAGCTGGAACTCCGGGTAGTGTCTGTACTTCTCCAGCTCAGCCTGCCACTCGACCTCCGACTGGGGCCAGGTCCTGCCCAGCAGCTTCCAGTCGACCATGGAGAGGCCGGACTCGGTCAGACGGGTCACACCACCTGCGGGTCAGGTCCAGAGGGTCGGTCAGGCAGGTCCAACACCTGCGAGTTTGGTCCAGAGGGTCGGTCAGGTGGGTCACAATTTAGGTCCAGGAGGTTGGTCAGGTGAGTCCAACACCTGTGGGTTTGGTCCAAAGTCGGTCAAGTGGGTCCACAACCTGCAATTCAGGTCCAGAGGGTCAGTCATGCGGGTCCAATGCCTATGGGTCAGGTCCGGAGGGTCGGCCAGTCAGGTCTGCCAACTGCGAGTCAGATTCAGAAGGCCAGTCAGGTCTGTTGCTTGAGGATCAGGTCCAAAAGGTCCGTCTGTTCGGTCCGCCACA